TCCCCCTTCAGTCTTCCATGGGGCCGAGCAAAAGTTCGCATCCCCAGCCCCTGTGTTCCAGAGTCCTGCCTTGCAGGAGAATGGGAAGACCTCCACGGAAAGCCACACAGACCAAGGCAGGAGGCAGCAACTGAAGCTGAATTTGGCCATTACCTGGAGTCAACTCTTAAAAGGCTCATTTGCCCAAAAGGCCACTAGTTCCCAATATGCAAAATGTACGTGTCTGAACCAGATGTGAAGCATAACCTTAGCTGGTTGGAAAAGGTTGCTCCTTCCTGTGTTCTTATCTCTGTTTTTTTTTCTAACAAAGGCAATATATACCTGGTGTTTGTTTTTTTTGAAGCCACAAACACTACAGAAATATTGTGACAAAGAAGGGCCTACAATTTTATGCTATAGAATAGTGAATAGTGGTTCTCAGGCTCCTGAATATAAACAGATCCCCCGGGGGGACATGTTAAAAATCCTGAGTCCTAGGCTCCCCCTCATAGGTTCTAATACAGTAATCCAGAAGCATGGCCCAGGAATTGCATGTTAACACTCTTTGCAAATGATGGCAGGTAATGACACTGGAGGTACGCTGATCCAGAACTGACCTCCGTTAACTGCTCAGTGTATGTGCCTCCACACTGGTTCTCTGTGTATACACTTTTTCATCTTGGGCAGGGGAAAGGGTAGAGGAATCAGACTAGAGATGATTTTGCAGTTTGATTTTTTTACCAAACATGTAGTGGGCATCTTTTGGGGGCAATACACAGATGTGCTATTGACTGCATCCCATTATGGAACTTAGCATAATTTCTGACTCATGAGGTATGGCTTGGGATCCGGTGGCTGCTGAGCTCATGCACAGTTACATGCACACGCGCATGAACACAGCAGCCAGGGGGTGCTGTTCCAAGCTCAGGGGTATCAGTGTCTTTGGTGTCTGGTCAACAGCAGTTATTGGGCACCTGGGTACTGGGACAGGAATACTGAAAAGAATAAGGTGAGGCCTCTGTCGCCGGCTGGCGGTCTGGTAGGTGAGCCTGATGGGTGTGGACACGGGGTGGACTATGAGAAGAGCTTTAGTGGAAGGAGTCCATGAGTCCCAGCTGCCTGGGGAAAATGGCACCCAAACTTGTGGGATTCCTGCCCAACTCTTTGGCGGTCAGTTGCTCTGGGGCTGCCATCAGTCTTCTAACAAAGGGAATGTGTTTCTTCTGTATAACACAGGGAACTGTATTCAGTATCTTGTAATCACCTTTAATGAGGAGGAATATGAACATGAATATATATATTTGTGTGCATGACTGGGACACTGTGCTGTACACCAGAAATTTGACATATTGTAACTCACTGTACTTCAATTTAAAAAAATTTTTTAAAGGGGAACACAAAGTGGGAATCGAGGGCATTGCTGACATGGGGACTCAAGTTCGTTTCTCTGGAGCGAGCTGGACTGTGGGGTCTGTCTGCCCCAGGCCGTGGGCTTTCGGCAGTCCCCCTGCCCAAGGATCCCTCTTGTTCCTCCACCTGTCAGGACACTGGGACTGGTTCAGACAAGCCACTGTGGGCGCTGGGAGATGCCCAAAATACTAGTTGTTTGCACAGCGGGACAACATGTGGGTGGGGACCAGGGGCAGCGAAGAATGTCTGACAAGAATCTGGTGTAGCCTTCCACTGTCAGAATGCAGTAAAGTTAAGCTGCAGCAGGATGCGAAGCTGGGGGAGGCACCATTCAAAGTACACTGAGCAGAACAATTTAGGAAGAAGAAACAAAAAAGAACACACATTGTCTCCAGAAAATTGTTTTATATCAGAGATTTTGTGACCCTGTCAGTTGAAGTGGCTCTAGGATGGCAGGCTGGACCAAGGCTCCCAGGACACGCAGACCTGTCCGTGACCCCTCTTCCTTCCCTCTCCCACCTCCCTGCACGCCCAGCATTCCAGCCCCCCAGGCCTCCTTCCATCACACCCAGCCCGTTCCCACCTTGGGGCCTTTCCACTAGCTCTGCCCATGCCCTGGAATACTCTCTGCCTCCCCATTCAGGCCTCCCACAGGTCCCCTCCCCACTGTCCCCCCTTCCTAAGCTCCCAGTCCCTCCTTTTCACTTCACCCAGGCTTGCTTTCATCATAGCTCAACATTCTCTTCTGTCTCCTTATTTTTCTGTCTAAACCCCACCTCGAATGTAGTTACCTGAGCACAGGGACACTGTCTCATCACACAGTATCGCTAACAGTTGGAACAGTGCCAGGAACACAGTACTCAATAGATGTTCATTAAATGAATAATACAAAGGCCAAGGAGGACCAAAGTTGCTTTTTTTATTGAAGTATAGTTGAATGACAATATTGTTAGTTTGAGGTGTCGAGCAAAGTGATTCAGTTATAACATATATGTATATATTTTTGCAGATTCTTTCCTATTATAGGTTATTACAAGATATTGACTATAGCTCATTGTGCTATACAGTAAATCCTTGTTATCTATAGAAGTGTGTATCTGTTAATCCAAAACTCCTAATTTATCCCTGCCCCCTTTCCCCTGTGGTGACCATAAGTTTGTTTTCTATGTCTGTGAGTTTGTTTCTGTTTTATAAGTAAGTTCACTTGTGCTATTTTTTAGATTCCACATATAAGTGATATCATATATTGTTTGTCTTTCTCTGGCTGATTGAAACATGTTGCTGCAAATAGCATTATTTTATCCTTTTTATGGCTGAATAGTATTCCATTATATGTATATGTGTGTATATATAAAACACAGCTTCTTTATCTGGTCATCAGTTAATGGACACTTAGATTGCTTTGTGTCCTGCCTATTGTAAACAGTACTGCTATGAACACCGGAGTGCTTGTATCTTTTGGAATTAAAGTTTGTCTTTTCCAGTTTTGTCTGGGCAGATATATGCCCAGGAGTGGGATTGCTGGATCATATGGTAACTGTTTTAAGGAATCTCCATACTGTTTTCCATAGTGGCTGCACCAAACTGGAGTCCCACCACCAGTGTAGGAGGGTTCCCTTTTCTCCGCACCCCCTCCAGCATTTATTATTTGTAGACTTTTTGATGATGGCCACTCTGACCAGTGAGGTGATACCTTACTATAGTTTTGATTTGCATTTCTCTAATAATTAGTGATGTCGAGCATCATTTCTTGTGCCTGTTGGCCATCTGTAAGTCTTTGGAGAAATGTCTATTTAGGTCTTCTGCCCATTTTTTGATTGGGTTGTTTGTTTTTTGATACTGAGCTGTATGAACTCAAAATATGTATATATTTTGAAAATTAAGCCCTTGTCAGTTGTACTGTTTGCAAATACTTTCTCCCAGTTCATTGATTGTCTTCCCCCTTTATTTTGTTTATGGTTTCCTTTACTGTGCAAAAGCTTAAAAGTTTTATTAGGTATCATTTGTTTACTTTTGTTTTTATTTCTTTTGCTCTGGCAGACTGATCTAAGAAAACATTGCTATGATTTATGTCAGAGAATGTTTTGCCTATGTTCTCTTCTAGGAGCTTTACGGTATCATGTATTATATTTAAGTCTTTAAGCCATTTTGAGTTTATGTCTGTGTAAGGTGTGAGGGAGTCTTCTAACTTCATTGATTTACAAGCAGCTGTCCAGCTTTAACAGCAGCACCACTTGCTGAAGAGACTGCCTTTTCGCCATTGTACACTCTTGCCTCCTTTGTTGAAGATTAATTGACCGTGGGTTTGTAGGTTTATTTCTGGGCTCTCTGTTCTATTAATGTATATGTCTTTGTGCCAGTACCATGTTTTGATTACTGTAGCTTGGTAGTATTGTCTTAAGTCTGGAAGGGTTATGTCTCCAGCTTTGTACTTTTTCATCAAGATGCTTTGGCAGTTCGTGGTCTTTTGTGGTTCCATATAAATTTTAGAATTCTTTGTTCTATTTCTGTGAAAAATGTCATGGGCAATTTGATATTAGAGATTGCATTAATCTGTAGATTGCTTTGGGTATGGCCACTGTAACAATATTAATTATTCCAATCCCAGAGCATGGGGTATCTTCCCATTTCTTCCAATTAGCTTCATTCTCCTTTATCAATGTTTTATAGTTCCAAACGTGTGACTATTTCACCTCCTTGGTTGGGTTATTCTAAGGGGTGTTTTTTGATGTGATTTTAAATGGGATTGGTTTTTTGCTTTCTTTTCTGACACTTCATTGTTAGTGTAAAGAAATGCAACAGATTTCTGTATATTAATCATGAATCCTGCTGAATTCATTTATCAGTTCTAACAGGTTTTGTGTGGCATCTTTAGGGTTTTCTATACATAGTATCAGGTAATCTGCATATGATAACTTTACCTCTTCCCCTTTGGATCTGTTTTATTTATTTTTAAAGAGGGCCACGGTTAACTGGTAGATGCCAGCTTCCTTCCTAGGGGATTAAGGATGATGACAAAAGCTAGAAAACACTTAAATAATTTCAAGTGGACACTGATTCTGAAAGTAGGAGAATGCCTCTATTATCGGTAAACACCCACATTAGCCTCCAGCAGCTACACATTCTTTATTTTCACATTCACACAGACTCATTGAGCCAAGATCTGTGGAACGCAGTTCCTTTCCAGGCACAGTGCTGCGTGCTGGGCCCTGCCGTCAGATCGCAGTGAGTCTACCTCTCTCTGTAGGAAAAGCATTGACTACGTGCTTTCACTAATGTCATCTCATCGGGGTTTTCCCTCCACTGCCCTGTTGTTTGAGACCACCCTCCACCTTTGACAGACACAGAAACCAAGGCTCGGGGTTGTGTCAGCAGAGGCTGACACAAGGGCCATCGTGGCCCAGAGCCAGCCAGCTTCTGCTCCCCTGCTCTCTCCTGTGCAACGTCCTGTTGGCTTCTCTCTGAAGTTCAGCTGAAGTTCAGGGTATCGAGTAAGTAAGATAGATGGAGTTTTTGGCCCATCAGTGGATGACCTGGAACTGATTCAACGTAGTTTCTTTCCCCTCCTTTTGCACTGAGCGCCGTTTTCTCTTGAGGAGTTGGGCACTGCAGCGGGAGGCTCGGCTCCCCCTCCATCAGGGAAGTACCGGAATGCATTCCTGCTGACCCTCCCGTTAGAAGCAAGGGAAATGCCTCTACATGAGCTGCCTTGCTCAGAACAAAGCTTGGCATGTTCTTATTCCTCAACAGTCTGACAAAATTGGTGTTTATTTGTGCCTCCCGGCATGTGGCTTGGACACGGTGTTCCGCATCGGGGAAGTGGCCGAGTACCAAGTGCAATACCCATTACTATAGCAACAGTTCCTTTTTATTGATACCAGAATAAACAGGAATGCGGAGCTGCCTCACTCGTTGGCACAGTTCATCCCCAGGGCTTTAAGAACCGCCCTTTAGAGGCGGCCCTCCTTGCTAGCCTGGGACTCTCCGGTGGAGTGAGGACCCAGCCACACTGCGCCCGAGTTCCCGTCCCAACAGCACAGCCGAGAAGTAAGACTGTTTCTCTTCTGTCTCACCTGCTGCTGAGCTGGGTCCGGTGCCGGGAGGAGGTGTAGGGGGAGGAGGGAGCACCGGGGTGGGGGTGCTGTCAGGGGAGCAGAGCTCTCTGAGCCCAGGTACCGGGGCTACGTCCCCTCTGTGAACTGACTCGGGTGTGCCTCTTGGCACCCTGGGTTTGGGAAAAGGACAGAAGTGCAGGGAGTGCCTAGACTCAGCCCTCTGTTCTTGCTGATCTGTCTTCTAAATCCTGAGCTGAAGCTGAAGTCATGTATGATGTGACCTCACCTGATTCACCGTGTAAGACTTGTAATTCTCTCACCTGATGGAAAAGGGCCCAAGTGCTGTGGGTGGCACAGCTGAGTGGGCGGGCGGCTGGCTCAGATTCTAGAGTCTTCGTTTGCTAAATCAGATGCCCCCTCCGAGCCTGTCTCCTCCTCTGTAAAATAAGGTCTCGGTAGTACCTACCTCCTCAGTCTGTCGTGAGGATTTCAGGAGGTGGCTGTGAGGTGCCGAGCGCAGGACGCGCACATGGGGAGTGCGCGGTTATGTCACCTGCTCACCTTTCTGGGGGGATTTGGCTCCAGCACTTCGCAGTATGAGGCAAGGCTGGGATTGGGCCAAAATTCAGGGGTTATAGGATTGTGTGTGTCACTTTTAGAAACTGCTTCTGAACCTAGCGGTTTCTCAGCTGTGAGGCAGCTCCAGTACCTCCGTCTCTGGTCAGCTTGGATCCTGAGTGGCTCTTAGCTCTGTTGGTGGTAAGTCCCGCCGGGATCTCACTGCCGGAGGCACCGTGCCACTGGTGGTCAGCACGGATGTCTGGTCTGCTGGCATTGTTCCTTTGTCAAATGCACAGCACTCTCACTAAGGACCTCCCATGTCCAGCCCTGGAACCTGCTATGGAATTGACTCGAAACCCTGAGTGCCCACTGAGACCTTACAAACAAGGAGGTCACAGTGGACTCGAGGCAAAATGTCCAGAAAGTTTGTCTTGAGTCATTTTCTCACGGTGTAGAGAGGCTGCACCCCAACAGACAGCAGCTCTGACAGGGGCTTCCGGGCATTGGCCATGGGCGGCTGGAGATCTGGAGGAGGCTCCCAGATGCACTGTTCCTTGGTTGCTGGCCAGTGAAATAGGAATGGGCACTTTCCCCACTGGGCGGAAGAAAGCAAGAAGGGTTAGGAAATCCAGTGGCCACGCTTGTCACTTGTACTGAATGCCTCTTTCTCCTTCGCCAGAGTTATTCTAAAAGCCTCTCTTCTCCTCTGCCCCTCCACTCCATGCAATGTTGATCCAAGGAGATCCCGAGTTGTGTTCTGAGCCCAGCAGCTTGAACAGTAATGAGGAACAAAGGCAGGGGGAGGGAGGGCAGAGGAGGGAAGACTTTGACCAACACCCCCAGAAGTAAAGGCCATCAGCTGGTCCCCTCCTAAACAAAGACCAGCTGTGGGCAGACAGGCCTGTGGATTCTGGCCTAAGGCCAAGCTGCTGGGGCTCCCTGCTGAGAGTCTGTGTTTCGTATGGGATAGGAGTCCTCTGGTTACCAGGCCTCCATTTTCTCATCTATGAAACAGGCTCACACTGCCCCTTCACTGGGGTTTCTTGAGTGTCCAGAGAGAGAAGAGGGATGTAAACCTGCTTTGTTGGCTGAAAGACTCTTTGCACCTGGAAGACAGTGGAATGGTAGAAAGAGCACAGAATTTGGAGTCTGAAAGTTCCAGCTTTGCCATTTGTTTTGTGTATCTTTGGACAAGTAGCTTGGCCTCTCTGAGCCTCAGTTTTCTCTTTTAGGAAATGGGAATAATAACACCCTTGGCTCCCTCCTGGGGCGATGAGATTCAGATGGAGGTCAGTGAGCCTTTATCAAATGTCACGTGCTCAACACAGGTCCCCTCAGGATAGGAGGACCACAGGTCCCCTCTGGTGAGCATCACTGCCAGGCACTGGGCTAAGCACATCACACACATTACATCATTGCACCATCCAAACAGTGCTAAAACCCGTGAGTAGGTTTTAGCATTATTTCCACTGTGTAGGGACTCAGAGAGGTTAAGCTGTTTGCCCAAGGTCACATAGCTAGGAAGGGGTGCCGCCATGATTCAAAGCCAGTCTGTCACCTTCAAAACATCTGCCTAAACCCCTTTGCTTTACTGCCTCATGTCATTTGTTAGAATTGATGCCACCAAAGACAAAACCAGAACCACCAGGGCAGGGGAAAGCCTTCGACAGCTTAGGGTTCCGTAGCTGCTCTCAGGATGCACTGGCACGTGGGTCTCTCCTTATTGCTCTCCTTTGCCCGAGGGGCAGCAGTGTTTGGTTTCAAAGCTGCCCCCCTAACATTAGCCACACATGTCCTAGTGGCTGGGAAGCTCAAGCTGGGAGCAGTCAGCAATCCTAGCTGAGCCCTGTCCAGCGTGGGGCCTCTGGGGGGCAGCTGTGGGACCTCTTGCATCATTAGCAGAACCAGGGAAGAACCAAGCAAGAAGCTCCCAATCTCTCCTCTGACCTATGAATTACCACCCCCAAAGATGAGGTCAGTCCCACATCTTAAGTGAGAATTACTTGCCCACTGTAAAGTCATGCAAGACACTCAATTTAGCTATCATCTCAGGCTCCCTCTACCCCATGCCCTCCACTTTAGCTTGTTCCATCTTCACAGCATCTTGACTTTACAGAGGAGAAGGGTCCAGGAGGTTAAAGACCCATGACCCATCCAAGGTCATACACTACTAAGAACTGTGACCTTAATCAGACCAGACCTGCCCGTGATAGCCAGGCCAACCAGTCAGCTGAAAATCACTCAGACTAAAGCCAAAAAGCCTGATTTTTTTCTTTTTCTTTATATATATTTTTTTAACTTCATGATCTATAAAGTTGGTTGACTATTGGAATCACCCTGGGAGTGATTTAAAATCCCAAAGGCCAGGCTGCATCCCAGGCCAATTAAATCAGAATCCCTGGGGGAGGACTCGGGAATTAGAATATTTATAACTTCCTCTGGTGATGCCAGTATGCATTCAGGGTTAAGATTCACTGATTGAACCTCAATCAAAAACTAGAAATGGGATTTTTTTAATAGTGATGGTTAACAGCTAATGGGGTGGCCACACAGTGCAATTCCAGGGGCCCTACTCAGTTTCATCCACAGGAGTGGGGCCCTGGAGTTGTTCAGTGCACAACCTGCCTCGCTGTATGTAGCGGCCCTAGTGGCCAGGACTTACTGAGTCCTAGACTCAGTGCTAGGCACTTGCCGAGCACCATGCAAGTATCACCTCACGAAGAAGGGTGCTGATTGAGAGCAGCTGTCACACCTACTCAACATGACTGTTCTAGCGGAAGCAGCCGTACACAGTAGGTAATGGGGGTAGGGCTGTGTTCCACGGGGACTGGAGTTGATCCAAAGGCTGTAGTTTTTGGACTCCTGCTGCAGAGGGTAGGTATACCTGCCCAAGGCTGGGCAGGGACTGAGCCGACATTCACTCAGGGTCTGTGGGCTCCCCAATCCATACACCTCAGCTTCACTCAGCTTTTCTTTGACAACCAGGGAACGATGTTCACTAGCATTCAACTTTCTCCTCAATCGGCCTGTCCTTCTCTGCCAGCTCTTCCTTGGGGCATCCATCTTTTTCTTTGCACAGATGACTTTACACTTACGTCACCTCTCCCCCATCAGGGTCACTTTCCCAAGGGGCTTGGATCTCTCAGGACACCCTAGCTGGAGAGACTTGGCCCAAGCAGCCTAGGGTGAGGGGAGTGGGGAGGAGGACTTGCCCCAGAGCAGCCACTGACCTTTTGGGGTGAAGGTCCTCACCTTGGCCAATCAGATGTTTTTCCTCTGGAATTTAATGGGTAAGACAGAGGCTGCCCATTAGAAGTAAAAGAAACCAAAGTCACATAAAAAAATTCCCAAAACCTGCTGGAAGTACCCCCTGCCCCGCAGAGCTGTGAGAATGACCTTTTAAAACTCAGGCACAATCTTTCCCCTACTTGCAATCACCCATCCACCCTCACTCGGGACACTCTCCCTGTAGCTCCCTCACGCCACTGCAGACACACTATGCCTTTTTGTTCCCTGAACAGACCAAGCTTGTTCAAGGTACATGAGTCACACATGCTGATCCCTCTGCCCCACACAGCCTCCTCCTTCCTTCTCAATCTTCAGATCTTAAAGGTCACCTCCTCAGAGAAGCCCTCCCGCCGCACCTGGCTGAATGAGGGTCCTCCCGGTTCCTTGAGTTCCTTGACGCTCTGTCCGCAGGCAACATGGGGTTGGGTGGTTTTTAATGCAAATCAATGCAGTCATTGATTTGTGCTGGTTTTTGTACCTGTTTGCTGTCTGTCTGCCTCCCTAGTAGAAGGTCAGCTCTGTAGGAGTGGGAACCTTGCTTGCTTAGTTCATTTCTGTGTGTCCAGCATCTACTACCATCCCTGGCAAATTATAGAAACTCAAACATTGTGGGATGAATGAATAATTGTACTATTATGTACTTTTTCAATAATCGTTCCTGTTATGGTTTTCTGTACTTATTTTGTATCTGGCCACATTACTGAATTCTCTCATTAGTTCCAGTTGCTTCTCTGTTAATCTATTTCAGAATTCTGGGTATAGAGTGATACCTTATGCAAATATTAATTCTGCCCTCTTTCCTGAATTTATATAATTTCTGTTTCCTGCCTCATTGCTTTGGCAACACACAGTTGTTTTAAAGATGGTGTGACTGATAACAGTTATGACGCTCTGGAAGGTTTGGGGCACACAGGGACTAAGGGCAGGCCGCGTCGGGAGATGATAGCCTGCGTGGGATGAGTGCTGAGGGCATAGAAAGGTAAGTGCGTAGCTAAGAATTACTCAGTTAAGAGACCGATGGACTTGATAATGGGAAAAGGCAGCAGAAGTGGAAAAATCTCCCCAAACTCCAGTGTGATTCAGGGTATTCAAATGCAGTGGCTTCCAGACACCTTAATCTCACAGACTAAGAAAATAGCTACATTTTTAAAGGGGGGAACTGTTTATTTTGTCAAGTGCCCATTTTTAACTATCAAACACTGCCAGAGTCATTTTTTAAGGTTGGATGCAGGAAGGATATATATAACCTGAAAAACAGCCTTACAAAAGAAAAGGAAGGAAATTAATTAGAATTCTCATTTTAGAAAGTTTTGAGAATGTGAATTCAAGAAAGAAATAGCAACTGTGTCTCTAGGCTCTGACACTTAATTATTGTAAGATATTTTGGACGTAGCTAGATTAACACTTTTTCCAATTTACACAGCATCTTTACAAATTAGGTCTCACTTAGCCCTCCTAAAGCGCCCTACAACAGGTAATAATAAAAATGCCAAACGTGTCTGGCAAAGCATAGTCCCTCCCCTTTGATGCCTACAATCCCCGCGGGTCACCTTGCAATTTACATGCCATCAAATCACCCTCCTTCTGTGTCTTCCAACCCCATGGTGAGCTATTACTCCCTTCCAGGTTCTTGCACAAACCACCATCCCGTCTAGTTTACTGGGAGAGCCCCCGTTCATCGGGGGAGAATAGCTTTCATCCTTTTCCCAGTGGGAGGGAAGCAGTGACGCTCTGTCCGCAGGCAACATGGGGTTGGGTGGTTTTTAAGAGGGAGACTGAAGCCTGGTGGATGCGGTAGGGAGACACTGGTTCCCCAAGACCCTCTCCGAGCCTCAGTTTCCTCACTGCACAACCTCAGAGGTCTTATTATCAATTACTGACAAATATTTATTGAGTGCCTACGATATACTAGACAAGAGCCTGCCAGAGTCTAGCAGCCAGTACAGGCTCAACCTCAGACAGGCAGGAGTCATGCAGGGGGCAGAGCCAGTGATTTTCACTCTAAATACTCTGTGCAGCTAGTAGCCAGGCTGCGTCACCCCGTCGAGACTTTTTCTCAAGACGTCTTCCTCTCTCACTCTCACCCACACTCACTCTCAGACTTGCTTTTGCACACTTCAAGGATAGGGAGCCAGCTCGGAGAGGAGGGAGCCCTTCTGCTCCCTCAAGGAAACTGACAAATTTCAAGCTACTGTGGTAGAACTGAGGCCATTGAGAAGCCAGACATCTACATGAAAGATGACAACCCTCCCTTTGTGATTAGACATAGCAGTCCTGGGGTTTCACACACTCCTCCTCCATCTAGTGAAAGGCTGGGCCCGTCCACGAGGGAAGGTGGAAGTATGGACAGGGAAGTTGCACAATAAGAGGGTGCTTTTTTTCTGACAGGAGCTCCATAAAGAATTCTTTTTACAGGAGGGAAAAAAATGGTTTTCAGGGAAAAAAAATGGCTTTCAAAGTCAAAACATTTGCAGGTGTCAACCCATCCTTTGTGACCAAGTCGCACTTCTTTACACCTCACTTGACAAGCATCACCGCTAGTCTTTACAACCTTGCGTACAGGTTCAAATATTTCCATCTCACAAGTGAGGAGACCCAGGCTCCCAAAGTCAGGTTGGCTGCCTAGGGCTGCGCAGCATTGGGTGGCCAAGGTCCGTCTAACATCCAACCCTCGCCTTCTCCTGTGCCCCTAGGGATGGGGGAGCCTATGCACCCAGCTCTGACCAACTCCCCCGTCCATCCTTACAGCCTCCATGTACTCGGAGATCCAGAGGGAGCGGGCGGACATCGGAGGCCTGATGGCCCGGCCAGAGTACAGAGAGTGGAACCCTGAGCTCATCAAGCCCAAGAAACTGCTGAACCCCGTCAAGGCCTCCCGGAGCCACCAGGAGCTGCACCGAGAGCTGCTCATGAACCACAGAAGGTGGGAGCAGAGCTCAGCTGCCTCAGCCTGGCAGGCGCCTGGCTGGCCTGCTGGGGCCTGCGGAGGTGCCCTTCGTGGAAGGCAGGCCCGGTAGTCAGCCTGGGGCTCCTAGAGGCTGTGGGGGGGGGTCTGACGGTGCCCTGCATGGTCACTAGCAGACACTGCGAAGGTCCACAAGCCCTGTTCTCACACCCAGCTGCCCCCCTTTGCCTGCCCTCCATTCACATTTACTGTGTGAGGCACCATGCCCAGACCTGGGGGGGACAAGAAGGAATAGGACCCAGTTCCTGCCCTCACAGAGCAGGTGGGTGCTTTGATGGGGCACAAATGGGCCTGGGACCCCTGAGGAGGCCGCTGGGAGGGCTCCAAGATGCGTTCCTGGAAGAAGTGATGCCTCCACTAAGGCCTGAAGGGCGGGCGAGCCTCAGTCTGGCTAGCAGGTGGGCGTGGCTGGGGAGGAGGTCTGTCCCCAGCAGCTGGAGGAGCACGTGCGAACGGAGGGGAAACGGGAGTAGCTCAGAGTGGCTGGAGCGAACTGTGAGGTAGGCCCGAGGAGACTTGTGGACCCTCGGCGTGTGACAGTCCTGGAGGGGGTAGGAGTGGGAGCAGGGAGGCCAGGGGGACACAATGAGAGGCAGTCTGGGACTGGGAATTGCCTCCCTGCTCACCAGCACCAGGATGAAGGCCGCAGCGCCTTCGCAACTCCCTCTATTGGCCGTTTTTGGTATTGGCACAGGCTGTGATTTTCTTTCACGTTTTCAGCTCTGTGAAACATACCTTCTTCCAGTATCATTTTGCATCTTCGATGTTGTCCCTCCCTCCCCAGAGGACAGTTATCTCTCTGTATCCGCAGGGGATTGGTTCCAGAACTCCCCACAGAAACTAAAATCCACAGATGCTCAAGCGCCCTATATATAAAAGGGCCTATTACAGACGGCCCTCTGTATCTTTGGAGTCAGCCAATCACGAATTCGTTCTGTGGAAATGGAGGACTGTGTATTACAATTATTTTCTCAGATTGCCTTTTAGAGTCATCCCTTGCAATGTCCAAAAACCACCACAATTTTAAAAAGGCCTAAAGACAAATCAGAGAAAATACTTGCAATATAAATGACAAAAATTAATATATATGTATCTCTTTAAAAAAACCATCAAGAGAAATTAACATAAGACAGGTATGGTTAGTTCGCAAAAGAAGAAATGCAAATGGCTGACAAAAATCCCAAAGTCTGGTCCATGTGACTAATAGAAACAAATGAAAAGCAAGTATTTTTTGCCTACCAGATTCTGAAATATAGAACGACTGAGTAGTAGGGACAAATAGATGCTCTTGTACCCTCTTGACAGAAGTATAAACTGGATAAGCTTTTCTAAGGGGCAGGTGGAAATATGTATCCAAAATCTTTTGAAAGAGCCTGACGCAGCAATTCCACCTCTAGAAACTTAACCTGAGAAAATACCCAAAATACCTCAACACCTGGTCTCTGCAGCCAGACAGGCCTGGGTCTCCCTCAGCCCCTTCACAGCTGTGACTTAGACTGATGTCTTCAGTCCTAGGAGCCTCACTTCCTGTCTCCGTATAATGGGACAGTGATGGTTCCACCTCCCGGGACTGCCACGAGCGTTGCATGAGATAACGGTACAGGCTGATGTCACTTCAGGGTGCAGCCCTGACTGGGGTGGGGAGAAGTAGGAATCTCCTAATGGCTCCCGCAACCCCAGGGGCCTGGGCGTGGACAGCAAGCCGGAGCTACAGCGTGTCCTTGAGCACCGCCGGCGGAACCAGCTCATCAAGAAGAAGAAGGAGGAGCTGGAGGCCAAGCGGCTGCAGTGTCCCTTTGAGCAGGAGCTGTTGAGACGGCAGCAAAGGCTGAACCAGGTGGGTTGGGGGTGGGGGGCCCAAACCCAGCCCATGCCTCCTCCAAGATTGTCTCCTGGCCCAGGGAGGAGCTCTGCTTTTGGCCACAGTGGACAAAAAGGAGCAAAATGACAACTCGACCAGGAAACCAGCCCCGGTCTGAGTCCTCATTCTGCCGTTCCCTGTGCTGTGTGCCTTTGAGCCAGTGGCTTCCCCTCTCTGAACCTCAGTTTCCTCATTGGCCCAATCTATTGTACGCTGATTCTTATTTCCTTCTCACAACTGCCCTGTGAGCCCAGTGAAGTTCCCATTTTAGAGATGAGGAACCTAGGGCCCAGACGAGGTAAGCAATTTGAATCAGGTGTCATGGAGAGCACATAGTCTCGTGCTGTGTCTCCCCAGGTACCAGGATGGTGGCAAACCTGATCCTGGATCTGTTTCCCCAGAGAGGACCCCCAGTCCAAACCCAGTGGCTTTTGAGAATGGGAATTCCCCTGGCCCCCCCTACTTCGCACCTGCTTCTCTCTCCTTCAGCTGGAAAAGCCACCAGAAAAGGAGGAGGACCGTGCTCCCGAATTTATTAAAGTCAGGGAAAACCTGCGCAGAATCGCCACACTGACCAGTGAAGAGAGAGCGCTGTAGAGCTGGAGCTCCAGCGCCCCCTGCAGCCCGCCTTCGGCCCCCACACCCTCCTCCAGCCCTTCTGTATCTGGCTGCCCTGGGCCCCCGCCTTGGCACATCTGTGATGTTCACGCTTGCTCCTGTAAAATGCATCGCCCCAAGAGGGCCAGTTCCACCCCTCACCCCTTCCCCCCAAAGCTGAGGGCTTCTCAGCTCCCAGGTTTTTCCCTCTGAGCACGCATCTCTCCTGCTCCAAAAAACCCCGGCGAGGAAAACTTTCACAAGGCCCCTCTCCCGAAGGGGCTTCTGGGCCCTGCGGAGATTTTTCTGGCATTGTTGAGAGAATGAGGCACGGCCCATCTCTGGCTGAACAAGCCCACCATTCTGCCCAGGCCCCAGAGAACTTCTCTGCAGCCAGAGGTGTGGCAGCTAAGCAGAGCATCTCACGCCTGCCTGGAAAGCCACCGCGGGGAGAAGGCTTGACCATCTGTCCTGGGTGAGGAAGGCAGGGCAGCCCCCGGCCACCCTGAGGCTCCTGTAACGCCGGGTCAAAGCCTACTTACTAACCAACCAGCCTTTCCCCTCCACCCACGCCTTTATTTTCTCCTCTACCGCCCTCCTTGTCCAGGCCTTGCAACCACACCAAGCCAGGGCTGTAGCCTTCCTGCTCCTGGAAGCCTAGAGCAGTGCTTCTCAAAATCTATTGTGCCTCTGAATTACTGGGGATCTTGCTAAACGACGGCTTCTGATTCAGCAGGTCTGGGCAGAGGGCTGAGATTCCATATTTCCGACAAGCTCCTCGGCTGCTGGTCCGAGGACCACACCTTATGCAGCAAGGCTCGAGCATCCAGGGGTGGTAAATATTGGAAACATCAAGCCTAAAGCCATCTCTGCCCCGCAATTCCCATGGACCTCTACCTGGGAGGCTCCCACCTAACCTCCACAGCCCCAAAGCGCTCTTTATTTTCCACCCCACCCCAGGAACCCCGGGCCTAGGATGACTCTGGCCTAGCGAATTCTGTTATGTGACCAGGGATGTATATAATTGCCAATCTGCATTCCTTACCACACTGTTATGATGCAATTCTAGCCAAAAAACCTCCCCCAAACAACCTTTTTTTCTAAACCTTTTCCCAAAGCCTATGAAGAGCAAATACAGTGATTGCTGTAGGTTTTTGAAATTTAAAAGGGGTTTGAAGCCTCCCACCCTTACATACTGGCCCCACTGAATCCCCACTTCCAGCCTCTGCACCTGAGACCCACCCTCTTCTTGGTTGCTGTCACCTGGGCCAGCTCCACTGAATTGACTCCTTCCTCAAAAATTCCTTCCCACATGAGACCAGATGTTTTAACTGTTTGCTCCTATCCCATTTTTAAAGATCAGAGACTAAACCAAGCCTGTTTCTTTTTCCCCTGAAGAATAAAGTACCTGCCTCTGATTTCATAAACTCATCATTCAAGGTGACAGGGCCATACTAGAAAAGCACTTCCTTTTACCCCACTCCCTCCACTACCCTCCATCCTGCCAAGACTGCCAGAAAGAGCTGCCGCTGAAATGCTATATGATACCTGGAACAAAGGTGGGAGGAAAGGCATCATCCTGGTCTTACCCCTAACGGGGTGACTGGAGGGTGACCAAAGCCATCATCCTCTTCCTGTGTGCGGTGTAAGTAAGCCACGGGGTGTGAATATGGACAGGGTGTGTGCGTGTGTGTGTTGAAGTTGAGCTTCTAAAAGGCTCTTGAATGTGACGGTCTTAGTGAGAAGGTGGTAATGCTGTTTTAAATGTCTGCCAGGTGAGAATAATGCTACAAATGAACAGTCCCTAAATAAAGACCCCCGCTTCCCCAAAGTAGTCCTCAGGGTCTCTGTTCAGACATGTGAGGAGAAGCGAGACAGAGCACCGAGGATGGTGAAGTCCCTCCAAGGGAATGCTCAGGATTTCACTCAGTGGGCCCCAGAGGTGCTCCAGAGAGGTGGCAAGTCACTGGAGACAAAGCCTCTGAAGGAGACGGGAGTTCGAGTACCACACTGTCCCGTGGAGCCACGGCAGACACACTTGTTCACTCCCCAGTGGTCAGTCCCAACTCATCTCTCCAGCCCCCTCCCACTATAGCAGCTGTAACCCAGATTCTCACTGTTCCAGCCTCCTTTACAGTTTGGGGTGACCATGTGACCAGGTATGGCCAGTGAAATTTAAGAGGAAGTCTAACAGGGGCTTTTTAGGAAAGCTTATTTTTTTCTGATAAAAGAGACAGATTGGGTAACACCTCCTTGCCCTTCCCTTCTTCCTGCCTTGATTGAGGACGTGATGCCTGGAACCACAGCAGCCATCTTGCTACAATGAGAAAAAGGCCAAGAGAATCTCACAGACATTGTACCTACTGTCACTTGATCAAGCCAATGCCAGCAGCCATCCTCCTCTATAGAATTCTTGTAAATAAAATTAAAATCCTCCTTGTTTAAGCCATTGCTGGTTAGTCTCTGTTACTTGCAGCCAAAAAGCATTCCTGACACCAGAAAGCCAGCCCTGCTGCCCAGAATTACCTGTAGTCTGTACTGAAAATCCAAACCCTCTTCCCCATCAGAAACCTATTGCATCAGTATCGCCAGCAGCAATGATGGGGATCTTTTTCTGCACCGTCTCCATCTAGCCTGCAATGGCACCAGTCTGGTATTTGGGCATCACTAATACACACATCATTCAGTAAGTATTTGTTGAGTGCCTGCCCTGTGCCAGGAAGCATGCCGTGTGCTGGGACAAAACAATCTGGATTATTGCAGTGGCCTCCTCCTCCCGTTTTCCCTGCTTCTGCCCCTGCAGCCTAGTCCCAACAGAGCAGCCAAGAAGATCCTATTAAAATCTAAGGCAGAGTTTATCACTCCTCTGGCTCCCAGCAGAGTCCTTCCTGTGATCTAGAAGGTCCTATGTGTCCAGCTCTCAATCTCTGACCCACTTCCTATTGCTCTCCCCTTCCTCATGCTGCTCCAACCAGCCTGGCCTCCACCCACCAGGCACACCTCAGCTCAGTGCCTTTCCACGGCCAGGAGTGCTCTTCCCTCTAGAGCCACGCAGCCCACTCCTCACTTTGTTCAGGTCTTTTTTTCATGCTCTTTGGCACCCCATCTAAAACCTCAACATCTCCTACGCTCTTCCTATCCCTGTCTCATTTTTCCTCCTTACCATTTATCACCATTTAACATAGTGTATATTTTACTTATTTGCCTTACATGTCTCTCCTAACAATAATATCAGCTCCACAAAGGCATTTTTGTCTGTCTCATTTACTGCTAAATCCCAACTGGCCTTCCTCCTCCCTCCTTCCCTGCCAGCAGGTGGCCTCGCCTGCGCCACTCTGGCAGTTGGGCCCCAGGGACAAGAATCCCAGCCCCATGCCACACACAGCTTTGAGAAAAGGCATTGGCCAACTAGGGCACAGGGCACACAGTAGGTGCTCAATAAATGTTGAATGAATGAGTGAGAAGCCCCTTCTCCCCCCTCTTTAGCTGCAATATGCCCAGCCTCCTCCCAGATGCAGCCATCACTATCATCCACCCACCTCCCCTCTCCACAATGCAGGGGTGTCAGGTTAGTCCAGAAGCTTTCTTTTGGCTTCTTGGGCTTTTGTCAGTGCACCTGGGCCCTACTGGCATTTGTGCGTGCAAAACCCACGTTGGAGCTGCGTGTGGTTCCTACACACCACTTTCTGGGCAACCAGACAGTTAGATCATCCCTGAAGGCCGAGGTCAGGCCATCACTCAGTCCTGGAGACCTTGGAGAAGCTGCTGCTACAGGAGCTCCGATGTCAGACCCTGCCCTCAATGCGGAGCCAAGAGCAGCCAGCCTCGTTCCGCCTAGGCCGCAGCCACCAGACCACAAGTCCTGGTCTGGGTTTGGACAGCACCCTCTCCCACAGCCGACCAGCACTAAACACAAAGCCCAGGAGAGAGACGGAAGACCTCAGGAGCCAGAGGGATGCTCTGTCCCTGGTTCTGCAGCTTGTGCCCCAGGCCCTCAGGACTGGGTAGTTTCTGCAGGGTGGCCTTGTCACACTTGAGATTATGTGAATTCCAAGCCCCACGAGACCAGGGACCCAGAGTGTCTCTGCTCACCTTTACCACTCCCACCCAGGACTCTGCACATAGTAGGTGTTAAAAAATGTTGTGAATGCGTATCAGCAATGATAACGGCATCTATGGAGAGCCATCCAGGTCACCACCCTTGGCAATTTCATAACATCCTTCCCATTTTGCAGATGAAGAAACCAAGGCTCAAGTAAATTAAGGAACTTGCCAGAAGTCACACAACAATTCTTGGGGAGAAAGGAGGTTCACACAGAGCCACCTGTGAGCAAAGTCTGCATTTTTCCCACTAGGGCCAGACCTTGCTCTTAGAAAGGGCTCGTAGGAGGCCCCCATGCCATCCTGATCTTTTGCCATGAGATTCAGAAACCTATTTCAAACCTTCCATTTGTCCATCTGAACTTGGCGGATTTGGCTTCTACTTATAAAAATAGACTCAGGCCATCGTAGAGTGACCTGAGTCCTGGGGTGAGGAATGTCCATACACTGTAGATGTGGCCTCATCCCCAGTGTCACACCCCAGCGCCCAAAGCCAACCAGTCTCTTGGGCCAGCCGACAGGTTAGAATCTACTAAGGTGGTGGGATTCCTGTCCCCTTGCAGGCTTGGACCTATGGCCGAGGAGTGGCCTAAACCACTTGATGTTTCGTTGCTCCCAAGGACCGTCACACCCCAGCCACCTTGCTCCCACCAGGGCCTTGCCTTACAGGGCCCCATTTCGCTGGGACTCGTGAGAACAGAGCCCTTACCTCCCAGTGGTCAAGTATCCTCTGTCACAGTCATCTGAGTTGATGATTGGCTGGTACTCACCCAGCGAGGACGCAGGGCTGGTCTTGTTCTCCGAAACTGGCCCTCTCACTCGGTGTGCCCATCTACTTCCCAGAAAGGACTTGCAGAGAGGTGAGCAGGATCGCCCAGGGAGGGACCCCAGCAACTCTCCTGGGCTGCCTGGCAACAGCTTAGCTACCTGGGGTTCCGCTGTCCAAGGAAGGGCTTCCCATGGGACCAGGACACCCAGCCGACCCTTTGGTGTACCTGAACTGAAGTGCTCATTCCCCCGAGAGGTCAGCATCAGACTTGCCCTGTAAAGGGCGTTAATTCCGTGCCAGACCTGGATTCAAGCCCCAGCCCTGCCAATCACTTGTCACGAGTCTGGGCAACTTGCTGAAACACATTTTCCACATCTGCGACACAAGTAATGATAACTGTACTTATTGAACATTTAGTGTCGGTGCCAGGGACTGGGCTAAGTACTTTGTATGAACTTTCTTGATTAATCCCCCAGGACTGTCATTACCTCCATTTTGCAGATGGAGAATCCAGAGTTTAAAGAGGCAAAGCTACTGCTCAAAGGCACAGAGTCAGCAGGTAGCAGAAAAGACATGTACCTGGCTGGAGCCCGTGTGTTTATCTTGGCAAAT